CCGCCCGGCAGTTGCGGCACGCTTGCACCTGCACTACCGGGCAGCTTAAAGGCATGGCTCGTGTAACACAGCTCCCAAAAAACCGCCCCAACAAAACCACCCACCTAACCACGCCACCTGCCTGCAGTTGTCCGATACTTTTACGTTGAGAATCTAAAATGGTGAAATGGGAAGCATATATACTCGGAGGGGTTCTTTCCTCGCTCGGATGACAAGTTTCTGTCTGTGCTCAGGTTTCATATGGCCAGCTTCAGCAGGATGCCTTTTACTACTGACCTTCCCATAATTACGGTTTTCAAGTGCCACCCTCTCACATCAGAACTATTTTCTTTAAACTGAAACGCTTCCTTTCTTTTTTTCTTCTTCTTCTTTTTTCTTCAGTCATTAGGACTTTTCAGAAAGTCTTTACCAAGTCTCTGTGAATCAAACCCGAAACTTTCCAAAACGCTTTAAAATGTGGGGTCATTTCGTTAAGAATTTGGGGACAATTTTTTCTCCCCATCTGACATTTGCCATCAGTATCCTATGTTAAGACAGTCTGGGCCCGATCCTGTTGCCGGTGAAGTTAGGATGCGAGACCTCCTCTGGCTCTCAGCAGAACAGGATCAAACCCTTCCATGCTAATAGAGGTTTAATAGCATCAGCACATGCCCAACAACCGCCGTTATAACCTTGACCCGGTCAGGTGCGATGATATTACTCCTCCTAAAGTTATCCTGCATTTCCTCGGTGACAGCAAACAGCTCTTTATCACCTCTCACAACCCACAATAACCCACAGGCAGTGATACCAATAACCCACTGCTCTTTTGTCATTCTCTTTCTTCGGAAGTCTACTCTAGTAACAGTAAAAAATAAGAACATTGTCTGCATCTTTTAGCCCCATGAGCCTATACTGCTCAGAACACTTCAGCCCGATGGTGACTGCTGAAGTAAAAAGTCACGGTTCTAAAAGTGAGTTAGTTACCCTCTGAGCAGTCTCTGTCCTGACGCTGAGTGCAGAACTGAGCGCTGGAGTGGAACATCAAGAGCTCCTGTGTGTATCCTGCTCCA